GAGACAGGGTGATGGATGGCTGGTGGAGGGTGCAGGGATCACAAGTTGAAAGAAATCCGTCCTGGGAGATCTTGTTTGAGGAGCTTTTTTATCACATCTACCGCATGGTGGTACCAATTGTCTCACTGGCTTCCATGAGACAGTTAATAACAAAGTAGGAAAAAACATGCAGATATTATGAATTTGAGCTGCAGTAGATGGGTTACTTTCCAAGAGGTACTGTACTTGCTTGCTTGTGGAAGTGCAGGAAGGTTACAAAATATTGATGATAGGTGATTTTTTTAACTGCTTGAGCATGATTGGCAAATAGGTAGAGGGTGAACAAGCTTTTCGTGGTGGAGGGGGTGGCAAGGCATGCCAAAGCCAAATACCTGTACAGTATGTGTAATTGTTCAGTTATAGCAAGTTTGAGTCCAAAGAGGGCGAATAACTAGCAAATCAAATTTTCAGTCAAAATAAGAAATTCTCACAAGTTAAATGTTCATTTTTCACTTGAAATGGCATCTGCTCGAAGTACATCCACTTGAACTAGCATGCGCTTAAAGTGGCATTCGCTCGTATTGACTGGTTCTTAACTAAATTCGTCCACATTTGCACAATACCAAATTGTTTTTACTAATTACCGTAGGTCTACTCAAGACCTAATAGGTTTTGTTTATTATTATGTAAGGATGTCAATTAATAACTTTTAAATTTTAGATTTTAAAGTTATTAATTGACATTTTAAACTTTTTAATGATACTTCCACAGACAATTTCTACATCTAAATGTCCACCGCAAGTTAAAAAGAAACCTTCTTGTCGCTTGAAAAAGGTGAGTTCTGTATACCTATTTAATAAATGTAAAAAATTTTAAGATTTTTGCGTTTTTAACAACTCAAATATCATAAAACAGTGAATGTTTAATTTCCCCATTTTTTTTTTTTTTTTTATTGTAGTGGTTTTTTTTTAATCATATGAAAATTGTTTACATTTTGATTTTGTTAAATTTATTAACTTTCTTGGGTGTTAATTCTGCTAAATGCAACAGTTCTTGCTTTGTACAGATTGCCTTTGGTTTGAGAAAATGATAAAATTTGATATTTAATTTCAAAAACTATTTAGTTACCCTTATTATGTTTCTTGTATCTAGGGCTTAAAGGTTTGGATACATGACAAACAAGAAGTTTGGGTACCAGCTTGTGTTGTGTCCTGTATGTCAGATGAACGGATAATAGTCAAAAAATCTGAAGTGGAGGTAAGACTTGAATAAAAAATTTCTTGTTGTCCGAAGTGTGGAAATATCAATAGGATTATTTGGTCTTGTAGGTCTGCAAAAAAATCATTTATTTTTAAAAACTTCACCTCATTTTTAGGATGTTGTGATTCATGGTAAACCAAGCTACCCAGTACTGTATGGCTCCACTGATTGGATAAATACTGAGGATCTTGCGTTACTTAACCCATTGTCTGAGCCTGCTGGTAAGTGTAGATCTACTTACAATACTAAGCCATAGTTACACTTTATTTTTGATTTTGTTAACCACAAAATGAGAATTGGAAAATACTGTACACAGAAGGTCAGGGAAACTTAAAATTATGTTTAACCCCTGAAATATTTGTAGTAACTGGATATGCCACAACAAATACTGTATATACAAAAATTTGATGCACTAAAATCACGATAAAAATAAATGAATCGACGTAATAAACACTAAAAGGTTTTTTTCTAAAGTAATTCCTTTTATGTTATTAAAAAATTACATTTGGCAGCTGATGCGATTCCATAGTGAATGCAACAGATTGTTGATTGTTGTGATGACCTACTCAGACAGTCACTGACAATCAGCGTGTTGAAGCGCTCACAGTTGTTGGCCGACATTTGTACGATGCGTGTGTGGCCGGCTTTACACTTTATTTACATGTGTTAAACCCAATTTCATTATGTATTCTGCCAGTGCTTAACTGTTTGCGTGAGAGATACTTGGCTGGGCGTTATCACACTCAGACCGGAAGTACACTTGTTGCTGTGAATCCATTCAAGGAGACAGGTCTCTATGCTGCTTACGTGATACATCAATACCATTTGAACCCAAAGGTTTGTCAATCAATCAATCAAATCAATCAATCATTTGACAGTGATTTATTATATATTGCATAAATATAGATATTGGAGAGCTTCTGTTATTTCATTTGAGAACCAATCTGCCAAAAAAATTTCCAGTTCTTGGTAATGTTTAAAAAAAATAGTGAGCTTTCACTATCCCGTTTCATGTTCCCACGAGAACCAAACTCTTGGTGGCAGTACAGCCGGTTGCTATAGCTGTGGCATATGCTTGTGCCGTGGTGGCACGATGATTGATGTAATGGTACGGTATGGCTGGGACCTAGCCTAGGACGAAATACATTGGCTATGATCAATCATTGGTTACAATTGGTTAGTCTGTGAAAAATTTGAGTGGATTTACAATCAGTGTTTACTATAATGATTTTCTCAAGGTGGTATAATCATTTAATAAAACCAAATTCCATTGAAATATTGCAAATAAATTCTCGATTCATCGCCGAATCCAGCGGCTGAATATTGGGTTTCGAGTGCGAGAAAACTAAAAGTAGAGACAAAAATATGCACAGATTGGTTCTCCAATGAGAGAACAAAAGCTCTCCAATAAACACGCGTCTCTTTCAGATTTAACAGAAATCCTGTATGTCAAATTGCTATTGCATTATCTGATTTTAAGGTATAAATATTATTATGGTGACAATGTTTCTGTGCTTACTTTCAGGTTCAACGACCTCATGTATATGGAGTTGCGGAAGCAGCGTTCAATAATCTGAGTAGAAGACTAGGAAATATTAATCAGTCAATTATTGTCAGTGGAGAAAGTGGTGCTGGAAAGGTACAAGATATTCCAACACAGTATACACAAATGAATATTTATAAATTATAAAATAATATTTGTAACTCAGTAATTTCATTATGTTGTATGTCATGGAATTTGAAAGTTACTGGAAAAGTTTTGATAAATATCATTTATACTATATATAGATAAAATTTTGGAGAATTTTTTTTTGTACAAAAAATAAGAATAAGCATTAAATCATATTGCAAGTATTATTTAAATGTATAATTTAACTTAGGTTTTCATTATAAAATTAATGATATTTTAGTATGAAGTTGAAATTGAGTATACAGTAGATGTTATTGTGTCTTGTTGGATATTATTATCTTAAACAGACATGGAATGCAAGGTGTTTACTGAAGTATCTGACAACAGTGGCAGAATGTAACCCAGGGTATGTTAAACACTTGTACACTAGATAGGAATGGAAGGGCAATTATGGTTTGAATCAAATATACAAACCAATTTCCCTTGCTGTGCATGTACTGTATATCAGAGGTGTACATCAAAATCGGTTGGAGGGCCAAAGTGAATTTTTGATTTAACACCGAGGGCTGCACCAAAACTTTGATGTTTACAGTGTGCTTCCAAAAACCTTCATGCACTGCTTTTATAGCACTTTATGCTTAGTTTTAACATTACTTTTTTAAGATGATCGGTTTCAGGCTGTTTTCTAGTCAAAAATATTTGGCGGGTCGCACACAAAGGGTTTTTAATTCATTTTCACGGCCACCAAAGCAGCATCCAGCCCGCGGGCCACACTTTGCCCACCTGTGATGTATATTAATAATCATGGTCTATGCACAGTAAAAGACGATGATAATGATTAAGATGATAATCAGCGTGGTAATAAGGGGATGGTGATAGATCAGGATGAGGGTTATGATGAAAAATAGGATAATGATTATCAGGATGATATGTCTTCTTTAAATAATTATAGTTCATTCATATTATTAATTTGGTATTTTTTTCTTTTTAGCGGCTTTACACCATCACCGGCAGATTGTATTGAGCGCAGAATACTAGACTCTAATCCAATCCTTGAAGCATTTGGTGAGCGTGTATTTGCTGTTTGATAAGTTTGATATTTTACTGATTTTAATTCCAATTATTTAAGTAAATATTTTAATTCGATTTTTGATTGTGTATTCATTCTAATTTACTATTGACAGTATAACTGTGCCAATGACAACCATTGTGAATAATTAATTAATATATCAATTTTATTTCCAACAGGCAATGCTGGTACTGATAGAAATCACAACAGTAGTCGCTTTGGCAAATACATTCAGTTACAGTTCAGTCGGTAGGTAATCACTAAATAACGTAATAATTATTATTTTTGGATCTACACCTTTCTAATTTTATTGTACAGTATTTACTATTTTAAGTTTTTGTCTAATACTTCTTTGCTTTGTTAGAAGAAACAGGCTTCATTGTTTTTAATTTTTGGCACACCAGTATAATTGTTTTTAAAATAGAATAGAATTATAGACTTGATCTATATACCATATGTACCTGTAGGACATTTTCTTAGCTTAAATTGTAATAGAAACACAATAAAATTAATTATAAAAAATAAAAAAAAGTACATAAGAAGAAACTTCTGTCTTAAAAGGTTTTATTGTTTTGTTTTCCAGTGGGAATCATGTTGTTGGTGCTTCTATTCAGACATACCTGCTTGAGAAAACCAGAGTTGTGTATCAATCTCCAGGTGGCAGAAACTTCCATATATTTTACCAAGTAAGAAAATGTGGTTTAATTTACCAATAACAGTGTAATCTATCATTTCTAAGCTGTGAATTTGAAGAATTTGTATTTTATGAATATATCAGCCACCACTGTATGAATAATAAAAATTCTTGTGTTGTACCAAGCTTTATTTACATTTAGCATTTAGTTAAAGTGTGTTTCATCAATTAATTTGAAGTATTCAAAATTGTTTCATTCAGGAAAATAGCTATGTATATACAGCATCGTTTGTTTTTACTGTAAAATTGTATACAGTAGCTTTTATCTTTATTGTACTGATATATTCTTTGAATGTTGATTAATGCACACCTCATTTGAATCATTATATTGAAGTCAGTCAATCTGATCATCTCAATTTTAAGTTGTTTTTCCATTTATTCCTTCATCTAATTGATTCAACTTTCAGAATTTATAAATACAAATACGTACATAAATAAACCAAAACAAATATATAGTATGGTACGTACAGAATTCTAATCTGCTTTAAATGCAATTAATCAATATATCTTGAAATACCTTTTTATTCCATAGATGCTATTTGGTGCTAATGAAAGAGAGATGAAGAACTGGTTATTACCAAATGAATCCAGTACAAACCATTTTAACTATGTGCAGATAAACCATTCAGAGGAGAATATTCCAAGAGACAAACAGGCATTTGCTGTCACAAAACAAGCAATGTGTAATGTTGGACTCAACAGATCACAACAGCAAGAATTATTTAAAGTGAGAGAAATGTACAAAAAAAAGATTTATATATGGGTTCACTGAGAAATTAGTAATGTTGAATTATTTTTGGCAGACACCTGTCCAACAAAAAAAACCATGTATTATAGTTCCAAAAATATATTGTTGTTTTGAAGTCAGGTCAACTGATAAAACTATAGCATTCCTCTATAGGTTTGACTATAACAGATACTCCAAACGTTGGGCCATGTGGGCCTTGTATTCAAATTTTGAATAAAGTGTGCTAGATAAATCTGGATGTTTGAGGCTCTGGTAGTTCCCTTCACAAAGTAAGCTTGTGCTTTCCTCGCATTAACCCCCGGGAGTGGAATGTCGACCATTTTTATTCAAAATATAAACTTACTTTGTAATTTCTTTACTTTTTAATTTCTTATAAGCACCAAAGTCTTTATAAAAATGCATAACTATTATGCAGTACTGTACTACTGTTATTTGGATCCAAACACACCGTAGAACCTTGAATTAAAGCCTAGGGCTTTTCCTTTTTTTTTGCGAACTTTAGGTGAGCTTCTTTTTGAGATGTGCTTCTTTCCAATAGATAGGCTTCTTCTCAAGATTAAACCCATTGGGCTTCTATTCAAGGTTTTACGGTATTTTCTAGTTTTCTTTGTAATCTTTATTTTTTTTTTGTAGGTTCTGAGTGGTATTCTTCACCTTGGCAATGTGGAGTTTGTGAACGATGAGGATTTTGCTGGGCCATGTGGAGTAGATTCAGAGAAAGAAGGTTAGAATAAAAGGTGTACTTTTATAGTTGCTGCCTTGCAATACCATCGGTTTGCATTAAATCCGTAAAATGCAAAGATTTTTATCTTGACTACAACAAAATATTAATCAATCATAACAAAATTATAGATATAAACCTTATGTTTTGTAGTACAGGTATCTACCTTTCACCAAAACCAGGCTTATACTATCACCTTTTCTGCCTGTAGGGGCTGATCCGATTGGAAGGCAACGTGGTTGATTAGAGGGCGGCTTTGTTAAAAAAAATGTACTTTTGCAATTTTTCTTGAGTGGTTGGTCTGGCTTGGTATATAGTTCTGTTTTTAATTAGTTTATTTATTGTAATGTGTAACTATTTTTTGGTAAATGTTTCATTAAAAACTTTAGGAATTGAAGCATCTGTTGAAGCTGCAGCCCATCTTCTTGGTCTTGATGTTGACGAATTCACTAAATGCTTATCGTTCCGACAAATCACAGCATCTCACAAGCGTAGGAAAAGTGTCTTTATGAAACCGTGTGTTGTCGAGGAATGCCATACAAGAAGAGATTGCTTAGCAAAGTTATTGTATTCCAGGTAATAATAGTTAAAGAACTCTGAACAAATAAAATATTTTTCCACCAATAATAGGGGTTCATCAAAATGATTGCATGTACTCTACATGTAGAGCAACCAGATTACAATATCAATTTGTTATTAATTTCATAATTTCTGTCTTCTCATAATACAGAGTTTTTGATTGGCTGGTTGGATTTATCAATGGTAGTACCATGGCTGGAAATTGGAAGTCTTTTATTGGACTGCTTGATGTCTATGGATTTGAGAGTTTTACATTCAACAGTCTTGAGCAACTTTGTATAAATTATGCAAATGAGAAGCTTCAGCAACACTTTGTGGAGAACTTTCTTAAAGCAGAACAGGTAACATGTAAAATATTTCTCATATAAATGGCTATATTGTGATAATACTGTATCAGGATATTTTTAAAAGCTTAAAAAGGCTGTGTCTAGGCAGTGTTTCTCATTGCATCATGTCTGTGGATAGTTCACTTACATAATTCTATACTGGTTTCTTATCGGTACTGAACTCTTGTATAAATTTACTGTTTTTCCAGGATGATTACCAGTCTGAAGGTATTCCTTGGGCATTCCGTGACTTTACCGATAACAGACCATGCCTTGACATCATAGAGGGCCGAATCAGCATCTTTGCTTTAATGTTTTGTTGTTGTTAATACATTTGATAGTCTGGACGTTTAAGATTAGCAAATACCTTTTGGCCAATAAGCAAACACTACAAATCACAACAACCAATCAGATTTGGTAATTCAGTTTTAAATATTCCATCAAAATACATCACATTATTTGATGTATTTTGGTGGCATTTGTTCCATCACATTTTATGTGATTCTCTCTTCATGAAATCTGATGGCCTGGACATAGCTTAATGCTAAATACAACCCATTGATTAAAATTTGTATAAACTTCTTTCAAGTCAAGTTTTTTAATTCAAATTTAATCTTTAAAATAAATTATTATAAGTTACCTTTTATTACCATGAATTGCCATCAGTTTTTTCTACTTTTAATGTTTTCTATTTCCCTAATATGATCATACGATTCGTTTTAGCAATGTAAGTTGAACAGAACATCCGATCCAGCCTCATTCAATGAGCGTCTCTATGACAACATCAGTAGTACTTACCTGTCCAGACCCCATGTCTCTATTACAACACCTGCATTCGTTGTTCACCACTATGCAGATAAAGTTACCTATCAAGTGGACGGATTAATCGAGAAAAATAAGGTAATTTGTAATGAACATTGTGGTTTAAAGTTATAATATATTGAGGGCAAATATTTATAGTACTAATGTAGTTTTGTACCGATGTATGTGCTTTAACAGTTAAAAGAACCTGAAAACTAAATAGAAAATGACAAACTCATAAAAAAATAATGTGGGAGGTCACCATTTTTAATAAGATTTTGAATTGCAGGATCAAACAAACTAGACAGCATTCTTTCTTAGCTTTTTTGGAGCAGTGCTTTTTATATTTGATACTTTGAATTTCTTTTGTTCTTATTTACAGGATCGTATTCCTCCTGAATTGGTTGACTTGCTAAAGATGAGCTCCAAGAAGTTTGTCCAACAGCTTGTGGCTGTAGATGTCTCAAGTCAACAGGTGATTATTGTTGTTAAATAATTAAAAAATAAGCCAACATGTTCATAATAATAATAATAATAAATTACCATTTACATAATGCATCTGGGGATTGGGTGCTGGAATGGAGTTCTTTTCCAATTACATCTGTTCACTTGTTTTTGCGTATAGAGACCCTCACATTTTGTGCAGTATGCATACATCACCTTTAACTCAATACCGAAACATTATTACTTTGCATTACCTTTGATTTTTATTTTAACGGAAACCAGCATGAACCATTATACATAATTTAATCCTTTACGTTTGACAGAACAATAACTTATATAAATATTTTTTATAACATAAAACAGAATATGAACATAATTTTGAACATGCTGTGTCTTCTAACATTATTTCATTACATATTTTCGTCTCATTTAAGAAAAAACAATAACAAGGTCAACGAGAGGACATTGAGACAGTGACCTTAAACTATAGATGGGTCTCCTGACATTTATACAGTACTTTAGAATTTCCTACCAGTACAAAGTATTTCATTCTTTTATGAATTTATCCAGTTACTTTTTTATTCTTAACTTTATTTGTATTGTTACTTACACAGAGTCCAAGTCGTTTGAAAGGCAAACAGGCTGCAGTTACAGTGGTATCAAAATTTAAGGTGATTTCATAGGGAGCTTTCAGTTACACAACACGGCGGGACGTAAAATTTAATGACGCTAAAAGCCATCGACACATGCAACAATGTTAAGTTTTTTTTTGTCGCATGGATTCTAGGACGTAACTTGACCAAATCTATGTTGTGCAGAGAATGTAGGACGGTCAAGCATTAATCTGCTCTAGTGTCGCGTAGCCGTGCAAATTAAAAGCTCAAAATTTTAAACTGTTTTCATACTTCTCCAATATTTTTGATGGAATAACAGTAATTTTCCTGAATAAACTGACTATTGACATTGCTGTTTTTACAATAACATAATACTATAAAGAGAAAGTAGTCGGACACACTACTAATAAAATGTATGAATAATTTCTTATACATACTACTTCCAAATAAGTTAGAAGATATCACTACTGTTTTTACCTCTTGTGGAGAAAAACATTTTATCATGTATAGTTTGTAAGCTACAATATGTACAGGTTGCTCTTCACAAAGTAAAAGATAATATGAGGCATAAACAAGCCAAACCAGTCACTCTTCGTTAATAAAGCATGGTTAAGCAGTAACATGGCACTTATAAAATTGTTGAAGAATAATTTAAATCCGACTTTTCATTATGAAGTTACAGGAGTTTAAACATACAGCTGTTTAAAAAACAGTGTTTGAGAAATCAGCTATCAAATTACGATTTTGGGCATTGAGACCATCACCAAATCATTAACAAAATGTTGTTTTGACATAAAAAAAAAAATGGGGAAAATAACAAAATAACATAATGTATAGATATGTAAGGTTCAGTTTAGTGCAAAAAATAGATTTTAAAAATTTTGACATTCCAACATCTTTTGGTCATTATCGCTAAAACACGATCACCACATATTAAGTTTTTTGATTGCTGTTCCCAGACTTCATTGGACAGCCTTATGTCGACCCTACATCAAACAACGCCTCATTACATCCGGTGTATAAAGCCGAGTTTTAAGTGTGAACCAAATCACTTTGATAATATCCATGTGATAAACCAACTACGTGCTTGCGGGGTTCTCGAGACAGTACAGATTAGTTCAAGGGGATTTCCTACCAGGTTAGTAGTATTTTCATAAAATATTTAAACTCTTTATTTAAATAAAATTATTACTGTTTAAAAATTTCCTGTTAAATTCATTGACCTCTAGGCTAGTGAATGATAAACACGGTATCTGCACTTGTTCCTCTTTCATCTATAAATATCAATATCTAAAAAAAAAAAAATCCGTAAATTGAATAATGAAAACAAAGTCAATGACCTATACACCATTTTATCTGGTCTATTTTGAAACAGCACCACCAATGTCTCGCAACTTTTCACTTTCATTGACCTCTAGGCTAGTGAATGATGAACACGGTGTCTGCACTTGTTCCACTTTCATCTAAAAATATCAATATCTTTTGCAAAAAATAAAAAAGAAAGAAAAAATCTGTAAATTGAATAATGAAAATTATTGGGTCTATTTTGAAACACCGCCACCAATGTCTCACAACTTTTCATTGGCCTAATCTGAGCAAATTTTGTTTTTCCAGACATATATTCTTCTCTTGAGTACAACCAAAACACTGCAAATTTATGCGTCCCTATTTTCTGTTTTGTTTTTTTTTTTTGGTTTTTTTTCGTTTTGGTATTTAGTTCTCAAAGACTAGCCTAGGCCTAGACTAACTCACTACAACAACAAGGTCGTGTACCAGTCACAGCACAGACACACACTACGTAGAGCAATGCCTAGGCCTCTGGAGGTCCCCCAGTGCTAGTTGCCAGGTTGTCTGAAATTTTCATTTCAAATTTGGTGAAAGTGGTGTATACAGTATAGTATTAACATTTTTTTTTTTTTTCTCATTGGTGTATGTAGAATGTTGTACTCTGAATTCCTGAAGCGCTATGAGCTACTCTTGCAGGGATGTAAAGAAGATGTTACAGGATTTGATATCAGGAACAAATGTGCCATCGTAACTGATAAAGTATTTGGAGAAGATGACAAGGAAAACAATGAGAAGAGCTTGTTGTTTGGAAAGACTAAGATCTTCTTAAGGGAAGGACAGGTAAGTTAATATTTGTAAGATTTGTCACCTAAATTTATTTATTTTTTTTAATTTCTGTTTTTCCCCTATTTATTTTCATCCTTTTTTTTAGCATGGGGGGACATGTTCCATAAATTATAGTGCTCTTTTAGCAAAGTACCCCTGGAATGGAATAAGCATATTTATTTTCACGATAGATAAAGTAATGTTTTATTTTTAGTTGGATCACCTGGAGGTTGCAAGATTAAGGGCGGTCAACTTGAGTGCATGCCGAATACAGAGATACTGGAGGAAGTTTCTAGCAACACGAAGACGTCAGCAAACAGCTGCTTCTGTCCTCCAAGCCGGTAAGTATTGCGTTTGTTAGTATTTACCATGCATCAACCCACAGATAGCACCGCGTTATAAATATATTTTTTGTGCATGCATGGTTTTATCCTGTTACTTCTCAATTTCTCATTTAATTTTGACAAACAAGTGTATTTTATTGTAGCGTTTAGGGGTTGGAAGGTGAGAGAAGATATGAAGCGTCGGCACGAGGCAGCACGTATCATTCAGTGTGCTATGGTAGGGTATTCAATCCGGTTACATCAACGTAGACTTGAGCAACAACTTAATGAAGTGCAATTGGAAGAGGTAAAACATTTATCCTGTTCTTAAATTCAAAAACAAAGTATAACAATATCTGAAACCCATCCCCCATTTGATTCTTCGGCCCTCACTCGGTTGGCACTTCACACCAAAGTACACATACATTCATGCCAAACCCACCCTAAAAATTCTAACACCGACCCTCAGTTTTCAATAGCTACATCCCTGAATATATTTATCATTTAATTTTTTTTCCACACCTAACTGAAAGTGGCCTGGCTCTCACTGCGCAGGATGGTGATTGGCTGATACGATTCTATGGAGAACGCCTCAACACGCACGCAACAGATTGTTTTTATTTTTTATTTCTTTATTCGGCAAACAAAACACAAACATCAAAGGTAAAAGAGCGAGTACAAAACAAAAATTGACAAATTGAATGAAGAAGATGATACAAAAGATCGCCCGGATAACCCATGAAAGTCGCCAAATGGGTACTTGTTTCCAATGGGGTCCGCATAAAGTAAAACAAATCTAAAATATCTTTCAACATCAGAAAATGACAATCAAAAAGTCATCAACAAGGCAAGGCAATACAGCAAAAAACAAAGACAGAGTTATCTACTGCAGATTTCTTCTAGAAATTTAGCTTTGTTGAAAAGGTAATTTTTAGTTCTTTATGGAAAATTAAATGATTATTGATTGATTTAATATAATTTGGAACGGCATTCTATTCTTTGATGCCTGAGAAGAAAAAAGTTGAAGCAGCAACACCTTTGACTTTGGGAACAATAAAATTTAAATCACTTTCTCTGGTATTGTAGTTATGGAAGTTGCGGACTTTACAGAAATTCAGAGACATATATTTAGCAGTTTTGCCAGTAGATATTCTGTGCATGATTTAACTTTAAATATTTTACTCTATCAGCTACATTTAATATACCAAGATTTGAAAGTCCTTCTGTTCCAGTGTGCGAGAGGGGACCTAATGAATTAATATAATGAACCATTTTGTTTTGAATAACTTTCATTTTAGGTGTTTGTTCGCCACAGAACCAAGCTGTTAACGCATAGTCAAAAAAACATTGCAAAAGTTCAGTACAAAGGAGTTTTTTACATTTTCTGTTAAGATACCCATTCTGCCTGTACAAAAATGTTAATCTAGCATTAACTTTATCGATAACTGATTGTGCAATATCTTTACAAGAGACACTATTGTCAAGCATAACTCCAAGGTATTTGACAGACTTGCTAGATTGTATTTGATGACCATCAATAGTAATCTTATAATTATAAACTTTTTAAAGTTTATTCTTTGATCCAAAAAGGATGCAATCTGTTTTATTAACGTTGAGGGATAATTTGTTGTCAACTAACCACCTGTGACGAGTCAAGGCAGTTAGAGAGAGTTTTGGAAATAACATCAACATTGTAATGGTAAAAAATTATGGCACTATCGTCAGCATAAAGTAGAAGTTTGCATTGAGTGTCTATACTTATAGTCATGTCAATACGTAACATAAGAATAAAAGTGGGCCGAGGATACTGCCTTGTGGAACATCACATGGGACATTGGAAGTTAAGCATCTTATCCACCAAGTTAAAGCTCCACTAGGCAGTATTCAGCTTATTTGTTGTAACCAAAATAATAAATACAACATAAGGTGATGAATGTTTGTCTTGAAAAACATTTAATATAGAAATGGTCTGTTACTTGAAAACTATTCTTCCCTTCCTCCCTAGGATGTAAGCATTGGCAGTGATGTCAGTTTCCAGGCAGGAGTTGATTGTAGCAGTGATCATGTTAGCACTGAAGAATCATGTACACAAGAAAACAATACCATATTATCTGCAGTTAGTGAAGACCTAGAAGATATGCTTCAGGATCCATTTACTAGTGTAGGCCATGTTCTGCCAAATGATGAGGCGGGGCAAGTAAAGGGCAGGGATATTATCAAGGAATATGCCAAAACTAGCGCCAATGACCAAAGCAGTCTTCTTGCAGAGGATCAAGACAAGGCTATTGCTGTGGATCAGGGCAGCGACATCACTGAAGAACATGGCAGTACTATCGCCAATAGTCTGTGTAATGGTACTACCGATGTGCACAACAGTTTTACTGTAAAAGAACAAGCCAATACTATCATGAGGAAACTTGTCCAAGCTGCCACAACTCCTGCAGTAGATATAGCATTTGGTATATTACTACTGGGGCTGCTCTACCATGGACCCATTAGGATATAGGCAGGATATTTTTTTTTTTTAATTTCACAAGTAATTATGCAATATTAAATGTGAATTGTTCTAGGAAATCATGCCATCCTTTAACAATGGTGGTTGTACCAGGCAAAATAAAAATTAAATTGTTGCCCAAGCCCACAAGACTTAATCTTAAAAACCTGTTAGGTTTTTCGATTTTTTGCAAAAATATATTTTGTACCAAGGAGCCCAGAGTTACGATGGTTTGCCTTAACCATGAACATTAGCCCTGTTAATACCAATTTACCAACTAAAATGCATGGGGTGAGAATGGCAATAGGACCTATAGTATCTGGCTGCTTGGGCAACAATTTTTAGGCCTTATCAGAAAGAAGGCATAAACATCTACTGTACTTGAAAATACTGTACATACAGGAAGGTAGGCCATGATCTGATACATGGCTACATTCAATATCTGCCAAAAGTGCACTTTTTATAAAGTGGGCAATTAACCGCTCCATTTATTAAACCAGCCTTAATGCAAAATTCCCAAGTTTGAAATAAAATCAAATTATCGGGTATGCTAGATGAACTGTAGTAGGTATTTGATCCAAAAGCACTAGAGAATAATATAGAGTTACTGTAATTACATTAGCTCCACTTAATATACACACTGAATTGTTTTTTTTTAGATTTTATTGCAATTTGTAACAAATCATGTACTGTATATGGACTAATCATATGAATATAATAAATAGTATAGAAAATATATTACTGTATTCACATTTTTTTTTTTTTTTTTTTGGCAAATGTTTGCATCAAATGCTTTCCTGTATTTGAAGCTGGTTATTCGGGACAAGAAGCTTTATCTGCTATTATATTATAATATATTTATTTTCCTTAAGCAAGACTTTATACATTGTTTAGCAAACCCGCTACACACCAATATGATGATTTTGAAAAAAAAATTGAATCTCCAAAAATAAGATATGTATTATTTCTCCCTAATTAAAGTTGAACTTGCCTAAGTTGAATATTTTCTACGCCAAATTGTTGTGTTTTCCATTAATTAACAATCTGTAAATCAAACAATATTTCAATGGCATTTTGGATTCGACTTGGGCAAGTTTAACTGTATATAAATTTAAAGCATTTAGTCATTCCACACTGTTTATATTCAAGAAATAATATTTTAAAATTTATTTTCCACTCCATTGGGTTTTTGGCAAAACCATTTGCTAAAAAAAATCTCGCCTTAAGTAGTCAAAGGACGTCCCAAATGAGGGCTCTACTATATACCTCAGAACCATAAAAGTATACATTTTTTGAAAAAAGTGTGTCAAGGAATTCAATAAAACACTGTCAGATGTAAAGATTGTTGCAGGCTACATTTAATGAAACCATTCAGAATAATAATTAATAGATTAGCTTTCATTTACAGTATATCTATTATACTCTGCAAAATACAAAAATCAAAATGGTCATTTCTAAGATTTGACCAGTGAGAGTGGGGCTACAGCTCTTCAGGACAGCAATTCCCCCACCCTCCACCCTTATCAGGGAGATAAATGCTACGTTATACAAAGCCTTTCAAATTACTGAATTTTCCACCTGGATCCTCCCAGAAATTCTGGGTGGCCACTGGCCCCACCAACTTATGCTGAAAATAAAACAGCAAATTGTGTGATTGTTGTTGCACCCACTATACTTTTTGCTGTGCAGTCATTAGAAGATGGCGGCCACCATCAATGGCAATGGTTTCTCCAGTGATATAGGACGAGTCGTCTGATGCCAGGAAAGTGACCACCTTGGCAACCTCATCTACTGTGCCTGCACGCCCCATTGCATGGGTCTCTTTGCAATGCTCAAGAAACTGTAAACAATATAAATAATAAAAATACAGATGAGTGACAATGAGAACAATATAGTAGTGATGGTTATTACGGTCTGGAAGTTGTATGTCTTCTGTAATTCTGATTATAATGACGAATATGAATCAATTCAGTGGAGGACACCATACACATGATGCGAACGTGTCATTTTTTTAAATACCTGGTTGTATGTTTCATCAGTCATTCCACCTCTCTTGTGTATTTCTGTTTTGATAACACCTGGACTATGAACAAGATCAAATTGTGTGTTAAATACATACATTTAGGACAGTAACAATTTTTTAAAATTTGTTGCTCAAGCAATGACAATCTAGTAGAAATCAGGGCCAGCTGCGATAGAAAAAATAACTTGGAAACTGCCTTTAAAAGTATCAAGTTTGATCAAAAGTGTTCTTTAAACATAAAAACTTTAGTGTTAGCACCTACAGTATGTTTCAGATTTTCAAGATTTTGAGTAGTGGGCTTGGGTAACACAAACCTTTATGGATTATTACTATTAGTACTATTATTAGCACAGTAAAATTATTGATAATTTAATACTATTAATTTTAATTATTTTTAATGTTTAAAAGTTACAAGTGATATTTTAGCAAACGGTGCATCTCTTCTTACATTTATGTGATCTTAATACTGTATTTAACTTACTTGACAGAATTCACTCTGACCCCTTTGGTAGCAAGTTCTGAAGCAAAATATAAAAGGATTGTATAGTCAGGTATTAAAATGACCAAAAAATAAACCAGCCCAGATTTAACAGGCTAAATCCCCCATACCAATGCTACATTTTAAATAAATACTATAGAACAAAAAATGTTTAAAAAAAAAGTTTACAAAAAAGAATCCAGGCTTACTTTTTCGCTATTTTTTAAAAATAGAGAACCAATCAAAATTGTAAATGTGTGTGGGGAGGGTAAGAGTATTGGGTATTTAGGTATTGCCTTTTACCTAAAGAATGCAGGGGCACATCAAAGCATCATAACAAATAAATAGGCCTACATATTAAGTAAAATATAATTTAAAATATTTCCTATTTCTTCCCGACCCCCCAAATCACACCAGCAGTGGTGTATCTAGGAGTCTTAAAATGGTGATGATGTGGGGGGCGCTCAACGATTAGGTGAGGGATGGTAACTCGCAAAATGAGGTGATCTTTTGGTACTTTATCATGATTTTTTTTGGGTGGTGTACAAGTTTTTTTTTTGGGGGGGAAGGCGTGTCTCCCCTGCGTGCCCCCTAAAGGTCAAGTGATTCAGACTAACCTTGAGCTGCACTAGCAGTCATATGATCTAAAGTACTCTTTGACATACAATAGCTTAATATACCAGGAAACTGTAAGGAAAAATACAATACATCAAACAATCATTCTTTAATTTCATGATATATTTGTAAAAATTAGGCCCTAAAAAATGTTGTTCCCAACCAAGTGCAATTTGCAAAGCAGGCCAGTTGGTCAGCATTTGTTTTTACTATAAGCCTAGGCCTAATTCAGGTTCATTGCCCACCTTCACTAACCACACATTTTGGTTGATAAAATAGTAACCACAGGGCTACATTCACATAGTGCCTTCCCCAAGGACACAAGTATAACCAGTGCCTGTCTCAAACTGACAGCTTCTATGCATGAGACAGAATTCCCCTGCTTGTGGTTGTGTAAATGCCGATCTGTGTTTGTGTGTGTTTGTGTAAATGCCGATCTGTGTTTGTGTGTGTTTGTGTAAATGCCGATCTGTGTTTGATTGTATAAATGCCTATCTGTGTTTGTGTGTGTTTGTGTAAATGCCTATCTGTGTTTGTGTGTGTTTGTGTAAATGCCTATCTGTGTTTATTTGTGTTTGTGTAAATGCCTATCTGTGTTTATTTGTGTCGTGTAAATGCTGTCTCTTATACACATCTGTAATGAAACCAGAGCGAATTAAAGACAAAAAATGAGAGGTTCAACAGTAGCTTTGATTAGACATATTTATTACTATTTAGTTTCGTGCTACACATACATGGTGCAGCACTCTTCAGATAAAATAGTCTAAATATATATATAATATTCATAATAAAATGAATTTTATATATCCTGAAAAAAAAGTCAACTGCCTAGATTAATTTTTCTTGTCTTTATTAAAAGTCTTTGTATTTTTTATTTTATTATGATCATGAGAAATAAAAAAACAGTTAATATAATTTTTGTTATTATTTTCATTAATAAAATACTTCACCTTGTTTTATTTGTTTTTTTTTTATTTGTGTTTGAGCTGGAAAGGATGGCTGAATTTCAAGTGACTATACTATAGCACACCAACTTTAAAAGAATTACAGTAATTTTTTAGTCCTGTGTGCTATATAGGCTTATGGGTATGTTTGATTTATTTCATTAGTTCACTGTTCTCCATCCAACAGCAACATGTTGCATGGCAGCTGAGTGGATGTTTTGCAAGTTGGTTGGTCATAGGTCATAGGTCATAGGAAAAGAGTAAAAGTTTTAAATTACCAAAACATCAAGACGGCCAAAATATTCAACTGTTTTTTCTAAAAGACTTGAGACCTCGTCTTCTACACTCAAGTCTGCAGTGATGCATAAAACCTGAAGAAGACACAAACAAAAACATTAGTTTTATGACTTACCAGATATTTCACTATAAATATTTTTGTATTACTGTATGTAATAAGGAATAGTAAAACCACTAGGCCAGATTTAAATTAGTTCCCCTTCCAAATAACCATCAAAGTAAGGCAAACCTTATCTTTTGGAACTCCTTTTTCGTGGCATACTACAGCTGTGTTTTGTAATCCGTCTTTGTTCCTTCCAGCTATTGCCAGAAAACAGCCATAGGAGGCAAAGTGTTTGGCAACCTCTGCTCCTATTCCAGAACTGGCCCCTGGGGAAAAAATTAACAATCGTCCTAAATTCATAGAAACATTTTGCAATATACTTAATATTTAGTTGGTAGGCCTAGTAGACATGCCTCCAGGCCCAAGCCTAGTAGTACCAGTAGAGGAGGTACCAGTCTAGGCTTAATAAGGCATGCAAGGCGATGACAGCCTGATCATTCATGATCAATAGTCACGCGCATACCCCTAGCTAGTAGGACTAGGCCTAGGCTTATGTATACACTTAGTAACATGTCACGAAACCAAAGCCAAGACTCAGTGATATATAACTACTAATTAATATGCCTAGGCCTATGCCTAATATTTTACCGGTAACTAATGCTACTTTCCCACGTAAGGAAGTCATTGTTCGGTACGTTTATAAGATACGATGCGAAGATACGATGCGCCCCTGGATCCGACCCAATAATGTTCCGTAAGTGACCTCATTAAAGTATACTGCCACCTAGCCTATAAATAATAATAAAAAAAAAAATAGGCCTACCAAATTAAAATAAAATAAAAAAATTGCTAATGTTAATGAATGAACCGCGCATGACTTATCAATGAATCAATAAGTGAAAGTTCGAAGAAAAAGCATAATCAACATTAGGCCTCTAATATTCACCATTCAATTCCTATCTCTGAAAATATTTTAGGAAAAAAGTGTTTTGGCCACGTTTTGAGAATTAAAAAAAAAATGGGTAGGTCGGTAGAAAAAGTTTTTTTTTTATACCAATAATGTATTTATGCCTAAAAAGTAGAAAATACACAAAAATACAACAAAGACCATTTTAAAATCTTTATTGAAGAGGAAAACAATCGCATATAACACTCGCATCGCCCACCGTCCAGCAACTAGGCCTCCAGACTTTTTAGCTCATTAAAATAATATTTTTCGTTGTAGTAAAAAAAAAAAAAAAAAAAAAAAAAAAACCTAAAATGCTAAACCTCAATTTCGCAAATTTTGGGTCGGTGGCGTGGCCAACACAATAATTTCTTTTTTATCAGCCTGACTCGGGGTGATATGCGCACCACCAGAAGGGCCCTGGCCCGGGATTTATCAATGTCAGCTTAGCAAATGTCTAAGTCAAAAAAGTTAAGATGTCCCTAATAAATATCTTAAGATTTTTTAAACCATCTTAGCAAAATCTTGGCTTAAAAATTGCCTTAGATGGCGCTTCCGTACAATTGATTTCTTAATTTTAAGTAATTTTTAAGCTAAGCAACATTGATATATTTGACTTAAGCAAAAATGGACTCATGGCGAATTTAAGCTGATTTTTAGTTTGATAAATCTGGCCTCGGTTCTAGAAACATTCACATCAAAGTGATCCAATCCAATGGAACAGACGGAGATCATCGAAGTTTAGAGTCTCCCACTAAGTAATGCAAAACGCATGTTTTATTCATTATTTTGAAATTTATTTGTCTATTTCATGAATTAATATAAAAATAGGGACTATCTTTGATAAAAATAATCAACGAAAAATCATAACGATTGCAATTGATTGGAGCAGTCACTATAACAACTCCGACGATTGAGGCAGCGAGTCGTGATTTCTAGGGCCACACATTATCTCCCTCATTCAGTCTATGGCCGTGAAATAAAATGATATGAACATATTTATTTCATTACGGTAAACCACTTTCCAGAAATTTTCCAATAAAATCCTTCGTAAATTGTGAACACTGACAGTACAAAAACGAATTGAATATCTCGCCTTTGTCTTTTTATTACTAGCATGCTTAACACACAAGATATCGCCGTTGAGTTTACGACCCGATGACAAGATCAAAGCGTTAAACGTTCAAGTGATCGTCGTATGACATGATAGGCCCACCTCTTCATCTGAAGAGTGACAAGGTGGACTATAAGGCACGATCAATCGCTAGACCACTTGACAAGGCGTTTATGAGCAAACTAATTAATCAAAGTCGGATAACTGTTGTAGGAACATTCACTGAAGCATAAGTCAGACTTTTTTTTATATCACATTAAGTTAAATTTCATCACTTTGATGATTAGTATACCGATAATACTGTACAGGCCCATCCTTTACTAAAGACAATCAGGGAATTCCCCTTGTGTTCATATTTAAAACCAGATAATTCGTTTTTGCTCATATTAATATATATTACAATAATTGCAATAGGCTTAGCTGCTACTAATAGGCCCTATTGTTCATCATTATCATCATCACCACCACCAGCTGCAACAGCAGCACACCCTTGCCATTATTTTCACTATCATCACCAACATCATCTTCATTTCGACATGATAGACGTCATCCTTATCATCGACGTCATTTTTAATCACGATTAATTACGTTATCAGACCATCAGACTACCAAGTCTCACACACTCGGCGTGAAATTCAATCATTTAGGGTCTGTCTCACGCTTAAGATGAATGAAATGCAGAGCGTTTAGGGAAAAAATATCCTCCAGGGGATCGAGCCACATACCCTTAGGGAACAGAATTTCCAAAAATCTCACGCTTGCAAATTTGTCAAACTTGGAATCTCTGCGTTATCATCACTAGCATTGACGTCACCATTTTCATCGATCATTATACCATCATCATCATAATTATCGTCATCATCATTTTTCGACCTCATTAATAATTAGGCCTACCATCATCAACGGTGTCAGTCGATCATTGTCATGTTAGCACCGCTGTGCGGTTATACAGCACCTCTAAAAGGAAACATTTTTTTTTATCTTTCTCCACTTATAAGTATCGCACACTCACGATGTTTATAAGTTGTCGTCAATTGCGTTATCTGAACCACTTAACGTTAGGCCTGAAGCATTTCATGTGTAAATGCTGGTAAATTTTGTATCCCATATATATTCATGTTTATTCGTTACCGGGAATGCATATATACAAATTTGAAATATTTACTACTATACTACATATTTTTTTTATTGGCTATCGGTATCTATATTAATTCTGGGTCGCCACCGCGTAACTTCCCCTATCTCCTCTGAAACCGCTGGCAGGAATGTGCTCATATCTCATACTTCTATGTCACGACCACATTCCGCTACTTTTTAAGGCTGGATATTGGATAAAAATGAAAAAAAATAACCACCGAAAATCAGTACCTGTTTCGCCATGTTTCGAAAGTTGCTTACGTCACGTAAATACAATTAATTACATCTATTCTGTACTGCAATGCTTAGTCTAAAAAAATGATCGAGTCAGGCTGTAAAAGAACCAGTCTATGTTTCGCAGCTTCTTTACGTCACCGCCCAGCAGTACTTCTCAAGTTCATCAACAAAATGGGTGTCAAGCATGTTCCCGTATGTCTTCGGCGGATTACCTATGAATTATACTGGATATAATTATTGTAGTTTTATGGCACAAAACATCAGCAATAAATGGCATGTTTTAGAAGTCGATCAGGTAATAATAAAGATACACTTGGGCACAAGCCATGATATAACCATACCTCGGCCTAAGTTAACCATACCGTCTAGCCCTACACAGGCTAAGCACAAGCCTGGGAATACAGACATTTCGGTCGCGTTTCGTTTCGGTCGCGCCTCACTTCGGTCGCGGTTTGTTCTCAACAAATATATGGAGCGCCAATGGAGTTGCAAAAACGCTGAATTTAATATTAATAGGCCTAATTATCATTGTAAAGTTCGTCAATCGGTTTATCATACTTTTTTTATTTATGTTTTGTTGTCTTTCTACTAAGTAACAACATAGGCTATAAAAGCAAATAAAATGAATACTATTATTACTAAACTAAATTTCAATTAATATTATGGTATTTATAGGTTATTTTCTAGTTTGTTGCATTCCTAGTACCATTTTACACTTTTATCGTACGATTTTTATTTTGGTTTTGTTATCGATCCTACGCTTCCTACTACATATAAATAATTTTTTTTTATTGTTTGTTGTGATATATATATTGATATAATTTTTATTATTAATGCTTGAATCATGGACCTATTATAGGACCATGCTTGAATCAAATAAGAATATGGAATAAGTATAGTCAATAGATTAGTTTCGCATAAGCCTACGTTTTTTTTCTTGTCTGTTACGTTTCCATTTAAGTACCATAAACGTTCTGATCATGATCATATTGTAAAGGAATTATGTATTTTCATATTTATATTTTCCATATAAAATTATCAATACATTTATAATTGCATGCTGTATTTTAAAAGCCGTTTCATGCTTCTTTTAGATTCATAAGCCCGGGAGAAGCACTCAACTTGCTAGGCCCTTCCTTAGTTGCAAAACTGGAGTATAATTGTGGACAGAAACGTGTCCACAAATTGACTTGTTTGTTTTATTTCCGTTTTTGATACATTACTGCAAAGACAGAAGTAGGTCTAATGCTAAAATAGACGACTAGACTAGCCACTCTAGGCACACTCTGGCTGTGGCCCAGGCCTATGCTCTAGACTAGGCGCGGCCTACCCTAGCCTATATGATGTCGATCACAGATAGGCTTAGACCCAGGGGCTTAGGCTCGGGTGTACTGTAGCATACCTACCTAAGGCCTATCCTCTATTTCTCGAATCCGGATCGATTTATATAGGGTCAAGGCACCACCAATCAATAGCTACCTTGAATTTACGTAAACACGTCGGGACAATGTTTACGGGGACAATGTTTACGGGTTCTTTTGAATGTCAGTAGTTCGGATAAGCCTTACATGCATCCACCTTGTATTGATTCAAGACAAACACTTCTCTCATGCCCACCAACTAGGCTAGACCTATTGTATATTTCTGTACTTTCACTTACAAGAGAGTACCCCAAAGCAACAGGGGAAGATCCAGTAGAGGAGAGGGACGTCCCTGGGCTGGGAAGGACTCCTGCCCGTTTTTCCACTAATTAAAAAAAAAAAAATTCGATGCAATATGTGCTATTCGCTTATTCAATTATTCTCTGAAACTGTTTGTGCCCCCCCCCCCCGTTTGAAACATTCTCGATCCAGCCTTGATCACACTGCACAATAATTCCTCACAAGCACAGGCCTACAGTGTGCTGCAAAGACACTCAAAACATTAACTACAAAGACGTCCTTCAGAAAAATAATGACATGGTGACCATAACATCCACAGCAATTGCCTCCTCAACTTCCCCATTTAACAATGTACATGATCGCCACCTTTCCCGACTCATTCAACACAATTCGCAGTAATTTCCTCCGACGGGATTCGAACCTGCGACCTCTCACTGTCAAGGTAAGCATCAAAACCATTAGACCACCGCCAAGTATTGCACAGTGGGCGTTAAACCAGATAAATCTGGAAGGTATACGGCTGGAAATCAAGATAGCCGTTAACACTGTTATATTATATATAAATCAAAGATTTATTCGTATACTGGTACATTGTTAAACAGTCAAAATAATAGGCCTACACAATATTATTTTTCATTTGTATATGCAGGTTGATTTGGCTGACATTATCTGATACCAATATTCTGA